ATCAGATGCTCTTGTGGCAAGTAGAATGAATTTAAACCCAGGAGGTAAGCAGCCAAAAATGAAAGATACTGTTTTTGGACCTAATAATATATTTCAATCCATGGTTTTTGAAGATGGGATACCAAAAGGAATGAAACAGGTGTTGGTTGAAAGGAACCTGTGGAAAGAAGGTCTGTTAGCTGATTGCAAGTTATGCAGAGGAAAAGTTGTGGATGAAGGTAGGGTTGATTGTTGTGCCAGAAGAATTCTATCCTTACAACCTGATTTCAAAAACCAAAAATCAGCTTTAGAAGAATTAATTTTGGAATCAGGACATTTGTGTGTTTTTTACCCTAAATTTCACTGTGAATTAAACTTTATTGAAAGGTATTGGGGTGAAGCTAAAAAATACACTAGGGATAAATGTGACTACACATGGGAAGGATTACAGAGGACAGTACCTGAAGCATTAGATTCAATAGATGTAATTACAATAAGAAAATTTGCCAGAAAGTCTTGGCGATATATGGATTTATACAAAGGTGGTATATCAGGTAAATTAGCAGAGTATGCTATTAAAAAATATAAATCACACAGAAGAATTCCTGAATATGTTTTTCAGGAATTAAATAATATTAAAATAGATTAAATTTCTAATTTCTCAATTTCATAAAATATTTTATAATCATCATATTATTTTTATTTTATATTAAAATTAATTAATATATATATGTGTATATATTTGGAAATAAATTCCTACAAATAAATTTTTTAAAAATCTCATTAAAAAAAAACAAAAAAAAAAAATAGTGAGGAAGTGATCTTTCCAAATAAATAATAATAATCTTATTAAAAAAAATTATTCACACTCGAGAACAAATCTTTCGCTTTTATCTTTTATTTGCTTTTTTTTGATGATTATTTTTACTAATCCTCTATGTATGATGGTTTTTTGTATTTTTTGACTTCGGTCCATTCTGTTTATTTTAATAAATAAAATTCATCATTAATCTAATAATAGTATGATTATGAATGGATCCAATATTTAAAAAACTCACTTTGCTTTCAGTTCAATTCTATGCTCAAATAGAACTCCGTTCTTAAATAAATAATTTTTATTTATTGGGTTTATTCCATGAGGAATATCATTTAAAACCCCCATAATATAAATCAACTTGTTAGATGGACCAACTTCTACAACGATTTCTTCTGGACGTGCTATGGTTGGGACATTTGCCATTATTATATATTCGTTACTATTTCAAATAAAAAAATAATTTAATTTTTATAAAGTTAATGTAGAGAATATTAATTTTATATGATTCATACCCATCATCAAAAACACTATGGTTCTTATCATCATCAAAAATAATTTTTTCACTGCCACTACTATTACTGCTACTATTATTATCAGTAGCACTGCTGCTGCTACTATTATTAAAAGTACCATTACTCCTGCTACTACTACTATTATTATAAACATTACTGCTGCTACTATTATTATCAACATTACTGCTGCTACTATTATTATTTTGGGTACCATCACTGTCATTATTAATATTATTATTACTTCTATTGTTATTATTATTATTGTTACCATTATCACAGATATATTTTACTACTTTGTTACTTCTATAATGGGTGGCAGCCGAAAAAATAATTAGGTGGTCTTCATTATCATGATATTCACAATTATTGTGATTGAAAAAAAAAACACCAGCTTCAATCCGATCATGAAAGTGCACATGGGCAAACCTAAATTAATTATAATTAATTTAAAATATTTTTTAATATGAATCAACTCTCCATAATATAGTTGAAATTATATATATAAAGGAGTACCAAGAAAAAAGCTTTACCTTTTACCAGAAATTTTTTTTACGTGGGAATATACTGCTCCGGGTAAACTAGTATTTATCCAATTTTCAAAATAATTGGCATTTTTGTTTGTATGGTCCGAGCCTCCAATAAATATTGTAAGTTCAGGATTTGAACAGCATTCTAACCATTTAATAAATATGTATTATTTAATAATAGTTTATATATATAAAACAGGAAAGGGGAGAAGCATCTTTCCCAAGTGAGGGAAAAACTTCAAGCAAGGGACATTATTTTTAAGTGAGGGAGGAATGGAGGAAAACTTCACTTAAAAATAATGTCCCTCGCTTGAAGTGGAGAAAAGCTACACTTGAGAATAGATACCTCTTATTAATTCATATTCGTTTTCCATTATTATTATTATTGTTATATATAAAATTTAAAAAATTTTTTTTTTTAATCTTATATTACTATTAGAAAAAGTCAGAATTTGATTGGCTATGTCACATATGATCGACATTTTAAATTTCGGACTATTAACCATTATAGATGTCCTGCACTATAGAACAGGAAAGAAGCATCAGAATGTAGATGCAATGTCTAGAATAAAAACAGGATACTGGGATTAATTAATTAGATAGAACATTTTAATTAGTATGTTGTGCATGAAAATCAAATTTGTGTCAATTTGAAATTTACCAATCAAATTTTGGGGTGGGTGTTTTAATACAAAATTCTGATTGGCTAATTTTAATTTCACATGTGTGAATTTCAAATTGATGCAGATTCCAAATTCACACACAACAAGTATAAACATTTTAATTAATTAATATTTATATATATATTTTTATTATTTATATTATATTATTTAATTGATACTTAACTTTCTTGCAGACATGATGGCTTGGTGGATGATCATGACAGTGATGCACAGATCTGGTTGGGGTGCATTACACTTTTTATACTTTATATTTTGCATTTTACACTTTAAACTTTACATTTTGCATTTTTACACTTTACACCTTTTATAAATTATATTTTATAAATTACATTAGTTTGAATATTATCCTTATTTTTTTTTTTTTTGTTACACATTTCATATATTATTTTTATATCTTATATCTTATATATTTTATTACATATTTTATATATTATCTTAATTTTTTTTTGAAAATTTCAATTTCCTTTGGGAAAACTTTTCAGCAATAGTTTATATATATATCTTGTGAACAACACTAGGACTTTCGGTAGACTCTCTTGGAATTCAAAGTATTATTCTAAAGAAGTATATCTGAAGGATTGTTGAGAATTATATAACACCATGGATTTAAACTTGTATTACAACTTAGTAAAATATTTGTCAGATTTACTTTTTCTAGAATCATCTATGGATGAAGAACAAAAGAAAATAAGAAGTCAATCAAGATATTTCATAGTAAGAGAAGGTATCCTATAGAAGAAGAATAGGAAGAACCCTCAAAGACCCCTTCGGGTGGTAAAATCAAATGAAGTAGAAATTATTTTACACAACTTACATGCTGATTCATTAGCAGGACACTTTGGAATTGAGGCAACCTATCATAGGATTGCTGAGAGATATTACTGGAACCAAATGTATAGTGATATAAGGGAATGTGTTCGAACTTGTGATGCATGTCAACATAGGGGTGGGCCTACTAAGCATGAATATCTACATCCAATTAAAGTTGGACAACCCTTTGAGAGATTAGGAATGGATATTGTTGGACCTTTGCCTGAGACTAGGAAGGGAAACAAGTATATGGTAG